ATATATATATATATATATATATATATATATATATATATATATATATATATATATATATATATATATTTTATAAGAGAGAATTTCATTGATGATTGAAATTTACAAAAGGGGGTGTTTACAAAAGACCTTCCTAATTTGCAAAGAGGGAGGCATAACTATACCGAAGTATTTCTTTTTCCCAATAACAAATAAATAAATAAACAATAAGTCTATTTCTGATCTTGTTAATTTTATGCAGAAAGAAGAAACCCATTCTTTTCTTATGTTATGCTAAAGACAACAATTACCTTCCCTTTCAGCGATACCTCTCTCCTTCCAAGCACGAATCTCATTTACGATAGCCACACACTCTTTTGGCTTCCAACCAGATAAACCCAGCTGATGAGTACCAAAAATAAGGACATCCAGTGGATCATTCCAAGAGATTACATTCTTTGACTTCACATTTTCAACCAGCATATCAGCACCCCTTGTTGCCTCCAGCACATTTATGAATCTAATAACACCACTGATAATTTGAGACCATCGGAATAACTCAACTTTAAGCTTTTAGTAAATGAATTTTCAGTTTGTAGCTTCCTGGAGCTAACATCAAAATGTTTCCCTAAAATGCTTTCACAACTTTCAAGAAATTAGGATGGCCTAAACAGGGAGAGAGATCCAAAAGATACCTAGGCTTACAACAACAAAAAGTTTTCACTTGTAGGACTCTACTGCCTCTTCCAACTACGGTCAACCTTATCTCCGAGTCCGGTCGAGTGAGTAAAAGTTATGTAGTATAAACAGGCTCGCCACTTCACATATTTCCTAGGGAACTCTATAACATAAATGCTTTACAAGCAATTCGATTCACTATGTACTGTAGGCCTCTACAAAAGACAAGAAAAAAGGCTGTAGGAAGCCTGAAAAAATATGTACCTGCTAAGAAGAACAAACAAATAGTCCTCAAGCCCGATCTCACAAAGACGCCACTGCACTTGCACAAAAGGGTGGAAAATAAGAGCTGTTTGAATCCTAACTTGATTGATTTTATAAATAAATACTTTCAATTAGCTTACTTTTTGTCGCATGGCTATTGCTGTATCAGAAGCATCATTTCTCAAGCCACTTTCAAGACCTCTTATGAGTATTTCTCTCAAAGCATTTAATGATTGAATGGTTTTGAAAAACAGGTCAGTGCCTTGGTTTTGGAAAGAACTGCCCAACTCATCTGCAGCATCCAAGTTCTGGAAATAAAATACCAACGACCAAGGCCTATTAAGCAATCTGAACCTTTTCATCAATATCCTTGAATTACAAGAAACAATGTCAATAGAAAAGTATGGAAAAAATACAATTTTTCTATGAGTTTTCAAACCCAACGTTTTGATCCCTAAGGTTAGGGAAATTGGTTTTTTTTGGTCCCTAAAAGAAAGTTGATTGGATACACTCTTTTATTATATTTTCTTAAGTTGACATGACTTTTCTTTATTAAATAATATCTTTTTAATTTTTTAAACTCATAAAAATAAATATTTTGATACCATTTTTTAAAATTTCCTTCTTTCTCTTCTCTCTCCCCTACCCATCCTTCTCTTTCCTTTCTCATCCTCTCCACTTCAACCAACCTTGTCGATGTCGCCCATCATCGCCACCTCCCTTGATCCAAAACGAGGGGTCTCTCCACATTTCAGATCAAAGAGTGGTGACAACGACGACGAGGTTGGTGGCCGGAGAGAGGATGAGATAGGAAATAGAAAAGAAGGGAGAGAAAATACGAAGAAGAATAGTTTTAATTTAAAAATGTCACGTTGGCTTAAGAATTTTTTTAAAAAAATCTAATCACCTTTCTATTAGCTACAATAATGTAAAACTAAAAGCAAGGACCACAACCATTTTTCTAAGCCTCGTGGATTAAAATGTCGAGTATGAAAACTCAGGGACTCAAATGCAACCAAACTCGAACCACAAGAACCAAAATGAATTCTTCCTAGAAGTATTTATTTATCAAGTTTTATGGTGAAATTGCCAATTGCAGATTTGAAAGCTCATATGCATATGAGAAGATAATGTTCCAACTGATAGTATCTTAAACAAGAGTTAATAATTGCATTTTAGTTAATCACTTATTTCATTAAATTAATATCAACAATTTAACATGAATTAAATGTTTAGCTTTCCTATTAAAAAAAAATTAACAAGACAAAATATCACCTTTTTGCACTCCAAGAAGTAGGCAAGAGCCGACAAGCCATGTCCATCAACAGACTCCTTGATTGATTCAAGTTGTTCTGCAAGGCTGAAAATAGCACAAAATTCTCATTTGCAGAAAGAGTATAGGTATTGGATTTGCGCTATAAATTGACTCAGCATAGACATGTTACAGGATTTCAACGAACTTGTTTAAAGAAGTGAAAAGACATCTTAGCCCCAAGATGAAAAAACTTTTACATTCAACTTGTGATATCCCACATTGGTTGGGGAGGAGAACTAAATACCCTTTATAAGGGTGTGGAAACCTTTCCTAGCAGATACGTTTTAAAGCCTTGAGGGGAAGCCCAAAAGGGAAAACTCAAAGAAGACAATATCTGCTAGCGGTGTGCTTGGGCTGTTACAAATGATATCAGAGCCAAGTACCGGGCGATGTGCCAGTGAGGAGACTGTTCCTCGAAGGGGGTAGACATGAGGCAGTGTGCCAGTAAGGACGCTGGGCCCCGAAGGGAGTGGATTTAGTGGGGATCCCACATCGATTGGAGAAAGGAACGAGTGCCAGCGAGGATGCTGGGCCTTGAAGGGCTCCTCTGGGCTCCCGGCGCTCCCGTGGTTCGCGAGAAGGAAAAAGGACTGGGTGGACATGAGGCAGTGTGCCAGTAAGGACGCTGGGCCCCGAAGGGAGTGGATTTAGTGGGGGTCCCACATCGATTGGAGAAAGGAACGAGTGCCAGCGAGGATGCTGGGCCTTGAAGGGCTCCTCTGGGCTCCCGGCGCTCCCGTGGTTCGCGAGAAGGAAAAAGGACTGGGTGGATTATGATATCCCACATTAGTTGGGGAGGAGAACAAAAGACCTTTCATAAGGGTGTGGAAACCTTTCCCTAGCAGACGCGTTTTAAAGCCTTGAGGGGAAGCCCAAAAGGGAAAGTCCAAAGAGGACAATATCTGCTAGCAGTGTGCTTGGGCCGTCACAGAACTATTCTCAAGAATTGTAATAATTTCATATTAGTCATCAAGTTTTAATTTGACAAATTGAGCATTGAAGGCGTAGCCTATCAGTCAACAAATGGTGTACATGCATTTAATATCAACACAAGATCACAGTAATGCATAAGAGAGAGAGAAGGGGGGTGAATACCCATTCCCATTGTAAAATAATGTGAATTCTTATATAAGGCACAACAGTTCTTATTACTACTTAGGCTATATATGTGAAAGTCCGCCTTGATGATAAAAGATATGATCTCAAAGATTTGGCACGGATCACTCATGAGCTTTTCTGTAATAAAAATTGTCTGATTTCTGTACATGTGCTACTGGACATAACTTCCTAATACATTGTTGTCCTCTATTACATCCATGAGATAAGGAGAAGATATGGAAGATACGCAAACCACAATCAGTGGGAAAGTTCTTCAAAAATAATTAATGTAACGACTCAAGCCCACCGCGAGCAGATATTGTCCTCTTTGGACTTTCCCTTTTGGGCTTCCCCTCAATTTTTTTAAAACGCATTTGATAGGGAGAGGTTTCCACACCCTTATAAAGAATGCATTGTTATCCTCCCCAACCACTTTGGGATCTCATAATCCACCCCCTTGCGGAGCCCATCATCATCCCTGACACTCGTTCCCTTCTCTAATCGATGTGGGACCACCCCCCAATCCAAACCCCCTTGCTGGCACATTGCCCGATGTCTACCTCTGATACCATTTGTAACGGCCCAAACCCACCGCTAGCAGATATTGTCCTCTTTGGGCTTTCTCCTTTAGACTTCCCCTCAAGGTTTTTAAAACGCGTCTGCTAGGGAGAGGTTTCCACACCCTTATAAAAAATGTTTCGTTCTCCTCCCCAACCGACGTGGGATCTCACAATTTAGTTGTTAAAGCTTGAGTTATACTCAAAGAGGGAGATCTCCAAGTTCCTTGAATTTCTTAAGATATTTTACTATATTTTCTTCCAAGTATTTAATACTATTTTCATTTCAATTTTCCAACTCCTATCAAATTGGTGTCCTTGCATCGATTTTAGCCATAGATGACAGAAATCTAAGCACCTTGAATGCATGTAGTGAAAAGAAAGATGCCAACTAGTACATTTCATATATATATTACAGTACATGCAGCACATCAAACATAAATATCTAAGAAAAACGCAATGAAGAAAGGCAAGTAATGGGATTCCTTATCTGACCTCCCAGCATTGAAGAAATCTTTCAATTCTTGGTAGAATATTTTGAACTGCTCTATAAAGACTTCACTATATTCTCCAGGGTTTTTGGTTATCCTTGTAAGAATTGCTCCTGTAGCAATTAAGTCCTCTGGACCAGCATTGCGATGAAGCTTGTTTTGTAATGTATGTTTGATTTCTTGCTGAAAAATGAAAATTCAATAAAAAAAACATATAAATTGTATTCTCCAATTATCCAATAGGAATCACTAGCGAAAGACAAATCTATCTTACTCTGACATTGAGAGGTCTTCAAAGCCATTACCTTGAGGTCATGAGGGATATCGTTCCAATGAGCAATATCTCGTATACGTGTTAAAGAAACAGATGCAGTAAATTCTGATTTAAAAGACAGCAAACATGGATGAATTTTTCGGACTATGAGAGATGCCTGAATGTGAAAAGAAAAGAAAACAAGTTTTAGCTGAAAAAAGTAAAGTCAAAAAACAAGTATAAAGTCGGAAATTAAAGCATTATAAAATACCTACAAATGAAAAGGGTAAAGGGATGGTTATATAATTGGATGCGAGCGTTAAAAAGGTCATCGATTCCTTTTCTTTTTAATGGAAAATGTTACCTTCATATACAAAAGAAAACAAAAACCAAGAAAAGACAAATAAATACATTTTTTTTTAATGTTTCGTTGATGAAATGAAACTTACACATTTGTTGTACATGACGTCAAGCATAAGCATAACTAAAGAATAAGCTAATCTGTAGTAGTTATCCAAAGCCAAAACCAATTATGAAACTAAAAGTAGAGATCAAAACAAAGAAGCTAGTAGTAGAAGTAGACCACCTGGGGAGAAATATCTTTCTTGGACAACGATCGTTCTAGTTCGCGAAATATAATCCTAGAAGTTTCACCATGCTTATTTGGCCTGTGATGACCCCCATCTTCAAAACAAGGGATTTGACCTGTATTTATCCACTGAACAAGAGGATCTTGAGAATATAGGAGTACGGAATTAAAAAAATGATTACTAAAACAAGATATTGAAGAGAACCTTAAGGTAGATAGCAGAATATATCAATGACTCCAGGCAATCCTCAGTGTGCACATTTTCGTCTAATAATTCACGTGCAACTTCAAGCTGCACAAGTAAAAGTTGGAAAATATATCAGGAGGATAGGTTTTGGTAATATTGTCAAAATGAAGTACATAGTGAATTCTGATCCATGCTAAAATTTGAAAGGCCAAAAGTACATCAATGACTTTCTTTTCTCTTCATTAGGGACGGACAACTAACTAAAAGTTCGTTTATAAGATCCTTTGTTTTATTCTTGTAAAAAGTGGTATTTTATTCGTTGGGTATACTGAATTAGCTGGTCTGTCAGCGGCTTAAACGAACCTTTTCTCTTCTTTTTTCTTTTGAAAGAGACACTTATCTATAAATCGATTGAAATTACTAGAAGCCATCCTAATTAGTGTTAATCACAAAGGGAAGTATAGCTATCAAATGCATTAAATAGTCTTATCTTATTTTCAATCGCATAACAAGGCTCACTCTTCTTAAGCACAGATATGTACCTTAGCCACTCAAGGTGGGTGACCTTTAGACTCGGTTTGAGCTCTTGCTCATCCTTATCTCCATCACACTACTCTCTCCCTACTAGTTAAACCTAATAAACTAGTCACCACTCAAACGACACTTCCCAGAAGTTAAACTAATGACTTACAAGATCAAATGACTTAAAAGCATTAAAAATGTACCCAAGGCTGACAAGTTGTTCATAAGGATTGTACTTGGCTTTGCTCCTACATAGAACCAACAACTAATGTATTTACAGAGCCTAAAGGATAAGCACTCTAACAAGTAAGAATCTCATCCTTTTTAATTGATTAAACACACGTAAACAGACACAACAACAAAATACCTTTCATCAAAAGTAAGTAATCTTCGAGCTCATCTGAAATAAAAGACCAATATCTAAAACATTGACAAGAAATTTCTTCAAAATTAATTTTGACAGTTGCATCAGAATCACTAAACTCATCTCAAATAATGACAATGAATGTTTTAGAATTTTCATCACTGACAGTTGCATCAGAATCACCAACATATCCAACACTACATTTGAAGCCAGGTTGGTTCCAAAGAAATAAACTAATAATAATAATTAAAAAAAAAAAAAAAAAAAAAAAAAAAAAAAAAAAAAAAAAAAAAAAAAAAAAAAAAAAAAAAAAAAAAAAAAAAAA